TCACAGAAGTCAGCAATAGTAGATCCTAATTCTCGGGTGAGGATATAATAGTTACTGCTTGTGAGTTACGCGGAGCCAGATTCAGGAAGTCAACGTCTATTAGGATTATGAAATGTCGTATAGTCGACAAAGGCGTTTGGTTCATATATATGTTTCTAAATTAATGACAACAGAAAGGAAAATGTAGATGTAAGTGTATAATTACTTGCGTTGAGCGGACTGGAATACTATCTTAACATCTCATCAGTTAAGTAACAGGCGATATTTATACTCAAGACTATGATAAGCTAAATTCTCTGTGATATGAATATATATGGTTGCAAGAAATCTTGGGACCTCTTAATGAACAGCTAAAATTGTATAAAAATGAATTAAAATGTTTTGAGAATAGTTGGTTACAATGAAAATTCCATTCTGACTGTCTTCTATGTAGTGTAATATGACTGGGATCGGCATAGACAACAGCACTATGAGCCTGTCGGATGGTAATGAGATATGGTTGCAGTGACACTCAGAACATGTCGATTGGAAATGTACGTGGTAGGATTGGTTGAAGAGATATTTAAATGCCGCCTGAGTAAAGGCATATATAGACGGCAATAGGCGACTCAACTTCTTATGAAAAACCTATAAGAGAATGTGTGTATTAAGAGAAGGATCTAGCGTAGGACTATAGCATTTAATGTTGCGTCACACTGTAATGTAGTAGAGATTATAGGAACTACAAAGAAAAATGATGACTAATCTCATGTTCATTAATAATAAACTGATTTGAAATCTAGTGTATAGCAGATAAATTTGGGACATCTGAAACAAAGTATTTTTAAGAGATTCAATAAGCAGAGATAATAATAAGCTCCCAGTAGGGATGTATGAGGGAATGACGACTATATAGAATGGGTAAGTGCTGAGGATCAATAGTGTTATCCAATAAGCGATAGAAAGAAAGAGGCCATAGAAAAGGGCAGCGATGAAGTTCTTTGTCAGTAGGTATGTGATCCATATATCAGAAGCATAATGTGTAAAGCATGACAATAGAGATTAAAGAATTGTAAAAATATCATAGTATTATCTTGGTGGTAAGAACATGCTTACTGAGGGTATAATCTCATCTCAATATAAATATATAACATAATAATATATAGATAGTACAATCAAATAATAATACTATATATAATATGGATGAGAGGTCAAGGAAAATCAATATAGTTAAGAGAGATACGCTAATATTCAATTTTTCAACTATATTAGTATTTTGTTTACCTAGTTTATCTGGGCTTCTCGGACACAAAACGTAATGTTTATAACAAGAGTAACAAAACTTAATTATAGTACGCTATCAAATACATGAAAATAAGTAGATTTGTTATTCTCTAGCAATTTCGAAATGCAAAGCGCAGTTACATAAATAAACTAGCTTTTTACTATTATTTTCTACAAAAGAATAAATTTTGTTATGCTCTCTTGCTTTTAAATAGAAACTTAGATGCCTATACCTGGTTGAAATATATCTCCTTTATAATAAAGTGGGTTCTTAAAACACCAAATCTTGGTGATGTTTTTTCCACATTTTCGGATTGCTCTCTCAGCATTTCTGTAAGTCAAAAATGTTCAAAACGACTATGATTTACCTCATTTTAGGAATACACAAGTCGGAGCACTCTCTCTCAAATGTCAAAATGACCAACTAGGCCTTAAACGGAGGAGGAGGGAAAAGAAGGGGGGCTGAGTATAGCAGCACTCTGTGTGATTTAATGTAAACCTAATGGTTTATAAATTTATCCCCACGGACGTCTTTTTTCTCTTTTTCTATACCCTAAACCATTAAGATCCTCGAACTAAACGACGCAATCGGACAAATGAATGAAAAAAAAAAGTCAAAAGTTATATGTGATATTTTTAAAGAACAAATTTTTCTTAAGAAAAATGTTATGTTTTAATCGCTCGCGTTCAAATGTATCGAGAAATAAATTACTTTTTTTGTTAAAATGATAGTAAAAATGTTTTTTAAACCTGGTTTGCATTTGAAGCTGAAGAAAGAATATTTTTTCCTTATGTATAAATATTTTTGTTATTTCATGTTTCGTAACACATGAATAAATCTAGTAGTACACGAATGATGAACATAATTATAATAAATAAATGGAATATACTCAAAATATTCTCTTTGTTTGTATACAGCAATGTCTGTAGTATATACCTATATATATATATAATATTATATATTAATACATTATATATATATTAATATTTATTATAATAAATGAATTATTTATGCGGCTAATGATTAGTAAATTTGTTTCCGCTGTAAAAAGAGTGGAGTTTTTCTTTTTTATGAATATATTAAATATTTACAAAGACATTTAGCATAAACATTTTGCTCTTACATGAAACAAAACGGACAATTAAAGCTTAACTGACCGCTTCTCTGTTTTACTACCACTTACTTAATAACAATGTTTTCTCTTATAAATCTTTATCATGCGGCTTTGAAATAATTCAACAATCGGGTACATCTTCCAATCTAGCGGTCCTTAGCTCACCACTCTTACCCAACGCGCCAAGGGTGGGAAGCTATCGGATTTTTCAAAATAGAAAATATTATTTTTCTAGCATTATAATATATAATATATATATTACAATGTATTACTTGTAATATTGAGTAATTATAATATATATATGATATGATAATAGCGTTTTGGTTTACAGAAGTGAGTGGTTGTGGCTTGGAGTTATAGAATTTTTTATCAGTAATTATTTCTATAGTAGAATTTAGTTAGTTGAATGAGTCATTTGCCAATATGTTTAGGGGTAGTTTGTAGAGGTTCCAATCTATGTAGTCACACCTGGTCCTTCCTGTCTCTTTCCTGGTATCTGTCTGTTCTGTTGTTCATCTGTCTTTTAGCTCTAGTGAACTCTCGATTTCTGAATTTGTTCATTCTGCCTGGTCTGGCTGTTCTGGTCTTGTTCTTATTCTGATTTTGTGTTGATATGTTTTCTGGCCCTGTGTCTCGTCTATTCGGAACTAATCTAGTTTTCTGTGTCTCTAATTTAATCTTTCTCTCTGTCTCTCCATGTCTCATATATTTGCCTCTGTCCCTCTCTCTCATGTTCTATTGAGGTCTTAATGCCTTTCAATCACTCATTTCGACATTAGGTACGCCCCGCCAGTCCTGATCAGCCTCGCTCTTCGTCACACAGTGTAAGGCCGTATGGTGGGCTCGTTTTAATTGGTAACTGAATTACACAGATGATAGACAAACCTGCTTGTGCCTGCAAGAAGGCGCTTAGAGAATTTATCAACAAACTAACAGTTATGAACTTCTGTAAAAACACGTAGAGTGTCCAATTCTGTTGCGAGATGAGATTGAAAGGAGGTAGATATTGCCCAAATTACGCTGTAGTAGTTGTATGTAGTTGTATGGTTAAAATATTAGAATTTGGAGTAGGGAATTCAGGTAGTTTTTATAAGAAAATTAATATGTTGATGTCTAATTGATTTCAGT